AAGGGGTGGGCGAGGGGAGGGAGAAGCTGCGGTAATTGACTCGCTGCAATAAAACAATACTTTCATTCGCTGGCATCTGAGGCTCACCAGCCCGCTTCGATGCGGTGGTAATTGATAGCGAGTTTGTGAATTTCCAGCATTTAAATACTTTCTTCAGTTTGTTTATGTTTTAACTTTTGTCGAATTCATTTCACTACTCGCTATCCGATTTAGCTTTCTGGGTACGAGTCGTAAACAAATTCAAAAGAACTTGTCGAAAAAACAACTCTTCGTTCATTTATCTAATCATGTGTCTGAGTCATTTCTACTGAAGCTTCAAATAGATATTAAATTTATTTATATGAGATGTAAATACATATTTATTTGTAAAAAGTCATTGTTGGGTGTAATTGTTGCAAAGTAAATAAAGTATACTGATAAAATTATGTAACAAGGAACACTGCAGATGTGGGGTCCATCTAAAAGGTATTTGTAGAAGAGTGAATTGTGATTTGTTTTCATTCTCAAGATAAATTTGTTCTCTACAATTGAATGTAGAAGTTGTCAAGAACTCGAAAATATTATCTATAGTACGTATTAGGGTTGCTAACGAATAAAAGGGTTGCTAGAATATTTTTTTAATATATGTAGTAATGAACAAAATATTTAATTCACGAATGTAAGAATTTAACTACCGTTAATAGAATAAACGCAAAATACAATACATTTCAAGGAAAAATCTAAATGTAAATGGAATAAATGTTCGGCTAAAGATTCTTCTGAGGAGTTTTTCTACCTCAATCAACAACATTTGAACAATTTCTACGATTCACAAAACATGTAATTTTTGAATTGAAATGTCTGTTTATTTTAAATATATGAATGTGTTAACATTATTGTGCTTCTATAGTCTCCAAAAATTGCTAAAAAACAATAAAGATGGCAAGATCGTGAATACGAAGTAAAACACAGAGATGCGTGTCTTAGTCATTGAATTTTGGCAGAGTGTATTGTTACTGAAGGAATTATAATGATTTATGTACCAATTCTTACAAACATTTCTCAAAATTCTATAATAGAATGGGGCTATTGCCTAGCAAGATCTAATGTCCCCTTACATACCGATCACATTGTACCCGCTACTGTAGGTCATAAAAAGCCAAGAATTTTCCTGATAGAGGCACTATTCATGAAAAAAGTAGCACTATTTCCCCATCTATTGCTTTCAAGTTAATCATATGGGTTTAGTGATTGATGTGTAGGGAAGTGGCAGCCATTCAACGGCCAAACTCGGAGTACCAGCTACGACAGGTTAGCTAAAACAGAAGTTTAAGTATTTTTGGCACTTTTCATTTAAAAATTAGAATCTGCTTCCCCGTTTAATGTCCTCATGGAGCAGAAAATGTGTATATGGTGGGGGGGATTAGAGAGGGAGTAAAAAGGGCACCTTCCCCCAGATCCCATTCCTTAATCAAGTGGCAGTTCGTAAGAATTTTGTACTGTTTTCGGTAGAAAACTGCGTGAATCTCGTCACTGCCTGAGCCTCTTATAAAGATACGGTGTTTGGAATGACACTTAAAAACCTTACTCCTGGCACTGCACAAATTTATAAATTAAATTTGTATTTGCCTGAGTTTTACATAAACTCATTTATACTTCCATCCATCAAATCATCCATACATCCCAACTATCCATCCAGTCAACCACGAAAACACATTTTATCTTCAGAACTATCAAAACGGATTTTGTCACCAAAATCTTAACGTCGCGTTTTTGAAGAAATCCAATACCTTTCCTTAGCGCTACATGAAAATAAGAAGACGTAAACCATAGAGCTACAACGGCACACATGCCTTCTCGTATAGCTCTAAACGGATAAGCAGTATTATAATAGAAGTTTAATCCGCAAACGTGTTTCCAAACAACAAAATCTTTTTGTCGGATTGCAATTCGAATCTGTGCAAATAGGTACCGCGAGCAACGGCCTTAGCTATGATAACACCTGCCTGTTGGCATTCAAAAGACTTTCCCAAAGGATCAAAACGAAAGTTGAGTTTTTGTAATTATCGAGATGTCAGTGGTTTTGCTGGTAATCGGATAATCGTCTGTGTCCACATCTCCATTCAACAAAAAATGTCTTGTTTACGTATTTTTTTCATGTTCACAAGTTCACTTAAAGTTAAGCAAAAACGATTCATTGTATTCAAAAAATCTAAGAGATATTGTATAAAAATTTAATTTGGAAGAACACATTTCATTAAAACGTCGTGCTTACCAAACGAACTCCTTACGACCCATTTGCCACAGATAGGCAAAAAAGTGAATTGCTGTAAACCTCTCAAGATACATCTTCATCGTCTTTGGTGAATATGTGACACTAACTAGAAATTTTCTTGATGGATTTTCGTATTCCATGGCCGAGAGGCTGGGTCACCGCTGGCCGCCCAAGGCCCGAGCCATAAGACAGGGCATTTCATTAAGAAAAACCTATATCTTCAATAATGTGATTAGGTTTAGGTGAAACCGTTTTAATTTTTGTAATTTTTGAAAAATCACGGTACAGAAACTCAAATTAGCGCTGTTCTGAAAGGGACCTCTGCACTATTAAAAAACAATTTAAAGAAACGAATTAGGGACGTTTTTGAGAATGTTTTGAAATGTCATAGGGATTTCAAGTAAAATACCCACAAAAATGAAATTCTTTTAAAATTCGTTGGGTGACAACAGCTAGGTCGATCGAAGAATCAGTTTTAGTGAAAATCCGGTACGGTTGGACAGAGAGGCTGACAGGCAGAGTCATCAACACTTTTCTGGTATAAATTATCCAGAAACCGTACATTCTGACCACACTACTCATTCTAGAAAGTAATTTCTAGAGTAACTTCACACAGGAGCAAGAAAATTCATCTCATTGGAATCATGCACCCACAAAACGCGGTTTACCGGCAAAAAGTCGTCTCTTTCCCTGCGACATTACATAACTTTCTCGTTCCACGACACGACAAATTAAAAGTGTAGACGCACGGAGAAAAATATGTTTGCGTACTCCTGTTCAAGCAATACTTTTCTTCCCGCAAAAAAGCAGAATAGCATTATCATTGATTTTCCAAAGGCATTTTACACCATCGTAAGAAGTGCAAAAAAACAGCTCTCAATATTTTATGAAGGAAAGAGCAATTACAAATTACAATTCTAAAATCATAAGGTAAACATAAATTAATATTATAAGAAATACATAGATGCATGAAACCAAAAGTCTCGACAATTATCAAGTTAAATAACTCTAAAATTAAACTTCGTGGCGTTGGCCCTTTAATTCAAA